AACGAGCAAGAAACTCCATTCGTTCTCGTAGGATATAAAATTGGCTTTTTCTTATTCCAGTCTAAGGTCTGTGTCGCGCAGAACCTAACGGGTAACCGGGGCTCCGGCTCGACGTGCAGGAGAAGGAACGGGCTGGTTTTTAGTCAGTAAGAGTCTGACACTCCCTTCCGCCTCACCCAGGCGGGAGCAGTCATTCGATGATTTTCCCCCCTTAAAAAAAAAAGTCTGTAGTAACACGTAATCTAGTCCTGCTCCAAATTTCATCCCTATCCCTTCAGCCGCTTTGACGTGAAGGAAGTAACTAACAGACAAACAAACTTTGTAACTTTCGCATTTATATTTGAAGTAGGATTTGTAACAAGTCAATCATGTTCTAAATACATTATATTTGGATACAAAATGTTTATTAGGTTTACGAATATGCAATTTCCAACAGCGCAAAGTAGCAAAGGGTCTGGCTTATATCTAGTGTAGTGCAAGAATGTGTATTGCCTGGTGTTGGTATTGTTGTTAGGATCGGTACGCCTATTCGCGTCCACTCACCAGTTGGCGTCCAAATCATAGAGATCCCTTCCAAAAAAAAAATTAATAGTATTTATTTCGTACACATTTCTGACTGCCTCATTAGCCGAGTGGTCACAAGTACGACTGACGGGCAAGGGGTCTCGGGTTCGATTCCCGGGTAGCGTAAGTATTACTTGGAATTAAAAAAAATATCAGTAGTAACTCGGAGTCTGCAATTGTTCCCGGTATATGGCAACCGGCTACACCTCTATTACACGCGACTCATAACATAAAATAATGAAAAGTAGGTGTTATAATTGTACAATGGCTTTTTTAAGTGCCGTAGGTGCTCTGCGTACCTCTCGGGGGGTAAAAGGCGTGAGGTTATGTATGTTTGTTAGTACACACTTGTTTGACCTTTCACGTTTTAAATATCTTACATTCATGCGATCTATAAAATGGACGCAAACTGGTGGGTGGACGCGAACAGGCGATCTTACCTTATTCAAGTACCACATAATTATCATACCATAAACATGACTCATGTTATTAGGTATGCCCAAAGAAATAACGGAGATACTTATAAGTACCTATTGTTATAAAATGTTACCTATTTATCCAAAGGTGAAAGTTTGTTACAAATTGGTCCTATAGATTACAAAACATTCTTTATCCTGTTTAAAATATTATCCATAGAGTAGATATATACTTGTATGATCACATCACATCAATACCCTATAATGCCCACTGAAGAGCAAAACCTCTTCTCACACGGAGAAGGTTTGAGCATTAAGCACCACGCTTGCTCAATGCGGGTTGGCGATTTCAAACTTATAATTAGGAATTTTAAGCCTAGATTTACCCGACGTTTTACTTCACCGTTTGTCAGTGGTGTCTGAATAATCTTAGAAAGTATATATAATTTTGAAAAAGTCACATTAGTATTTGTCGTTGGTAGGTTCCGAAACCGCGACCTCATGCATGAGAAACGGGCGTCTTAATGCCGCGGGCCATCACGACACTATGTATGGTCGCTTATTAGGAACTCCAGTACCTTTAGCCAAACGCCACTTTAGCGCATGTCTACAGAGAGAGTAGAAAACTAAATGTATGGGGATGACACTGTCACGTGTCAAAATTTACGTCAATTCTTACTAATATTATAAATCGGAAAGTGAGTTTGTTTGTTTGTTTGTTTGTTCCGATTTCACGCCGTAACTACTAAACCGATTGGGCTCGCTGCCATCGCAGCGGTAAGTCCCCTCTTTGAGGAGTGGCTTGAGAGACGCTACGGCGTCCTCACCTACCGCCTGACGCAGGTCCTCACCGGACATGGCAGTTTCGGGAGGTACCTGTGTCTGATGGGGCGGGAGGAAACGCCCGGGTGTCATCACTGCGAGGACCGCCCTGAGGACACGGTGGAACACACGGTGGGAGAATGCCCTTCGTGGGCTGAGCACCGCCGTGTCCTCAGGGAAGTGATCGGCGATGGCGACCTCTCGCGTCCGGGCCTAGTGCAGGCCATGATGCGGAGCGAGGGGGATTGGGATGCCGTCTCCTCCTTTTGCGAAGCAGTCATGCTAGCTAAGGAGGAGGCGGGACGCGTGAGGCAGCGAAGCGCTGCCTCCTCGCAACCCAGCCATCGCGAAGGACACACCGGGCGTCGGGGATCGCGGGACGATCTCCGGCCACCGTAAGCGCGGGCCTGCGGACGGCGAGCATGGGTGGCTCCCCGTCCGACCAGAAACAGACCCGAGCGTACGGCGCGTCGCGTTCCGCGCGCGCCTCAAAGAGCCATCAGACCACCACAGATGGGGCCCAATAGGGCCGATGCCGATTCGGAGTCGCGGAGAACCTAACGGGTAACCGGGGCTCCGGCTCGACGTGCAGGAGAAGGAACGGGGTGGTTTTTAGTCAGTAAGAGTCTGACACTCCCTCCCGCCTCACCCAGGCGGGGGCAGTCATTCGATGATTTTCCCCCCTTAAAAAAAAAAAAAAAAAAAACTACTAAACCGATTGCTTTGAATTTTTGCAGACGTAAAGTTAGAAGTCTGAATTAAATTATAGGGTACTTTTTATCCCAGAAAATTTAGATATTTCCGTGGGAAAACAAAAGTATTGGTATAGATGGCGCTGTATGTATTGGTATATGTCACATAGGCTACTTTTTATCTTTTTGTGACGCGAGCGAAGCCGCGGGTAAAAGCTAGTTCCAAATATTTTAGTTTTCTACTCTTCAAGTAGACAAGCGCTAAATGGCATTTGGCTACAGCTGCTGATTTTCATTCATTAAATATCATTAGATACAGAAAAGAGAATTCATATTTGGGAATTGTTTGTGTAATTTAATAAAAGTAGGTTATATACAGCTGTAATTGGATTTCAGGTTCATTATTTATAATTAAGATTGTTGGTATGATTTCAACCTGTCGTCTACCTCTATATCTGTACTTATGAAATAAAATAAACTAAAAATAAAACAGTACGTTTTTATGATATTTATCTCTATATCATTAAATGAATGAACGTCACACATAAAAAAGATCAAAGATTATCGATGAAAAATATTATGATTCAAGAAAAATATAAATTGATAAGTAAATAAACTGTAAAATATTAACTACCAATCCGTTGATTGGTAATCGTATGAGTATAATTTTCATTGTGATAATTTTCATCCTCACGCATAGTATTGTGTAGAAATCATTGATTCTAACAACATACCTCTAATAATTTATAATAATGTTTCTTGTTAGTATTCGTAATTTAAGTAACTTAGTTTCAAAAAACATCCTAATTACAAATCCCTAAAAGGCCGATAACACTGCAATTCTCTTTTTGTGTGGTGTTCATCCACGGGCGTTGCCAATAGAGATGATGACGGTATGATAATCAAAAATCGAATTAGTCCGTCAGTTAGATAATGAAAAAATATTCGACACATATATTTAATTTTATTATACAAGAAGACAATATTTAGACAATACGAATCAAAGTTTAGGAGTAGGAGCGAAAAAGTCATTTTTACGTATTAAAAATACCTAGAAGTGACGTCACGCGATATTCCTAATCAATATATTGTCAAAAGTATTGGTTTCTGTATTAAAATAAAAATACGTGGCTAATATTTTTAAATAATCTACCAGACGGACATTAAATTATAAATAAAGTGACGTCATTGAATTTACAGCATTAATTATAATAATATCACCGAAAACATAAGAGGTTTACAAAAAAAACGAATTGATAAAGTAATCATCTGATATGCTTGTTTTGACTAGAATTATACATGAACGTAATGAACTAGATAAGTATGTAAGGATCGTACTAATGGCACTCTGTAGTATCCGCCAAAATGTGCGTATGTCACTATGTTATGTACCTATATTTTGTGTCTGAAATTTTCTTTTTACTTTACCTGCTAGGAAAAAACCCACCGCCCCACCTCGAAAGAGAGGATGAAACATTAATGGTAGACATGGTACATATATTCTCGTTAACTCATGGTCTCCCTACTCCTTACCTGTCAGGTGTCACATAAATTCTATTCCCTTGCCACTAAAGCTACCTAATTAGTGTTCAATTTGGGTTTCAGTTAGTGTTTGGAAGTACCACAAGACAGACGTGTTCTTATCTTTCCATTTAAAAACTTGTTTAAAAAACATATCGATAAAGTTTTCTTTTTGTGTCGTATCCGATAAACTTGTCTTAGAATCGTCTCGTGTTCTTGTTTTCGTGTGATTGTGAGGGTCAATTGTGTTTTTGTAATATTTTTGTGATATTTTCAACTATCTTACTTATTTGCTGATAGTTAATTGCTGGCGGATAAACCTCTCTCATGTCGGTTATCGGTGCCGTCACAGCGCTTAATACATACAGAGTGTTTATAAATTGCATAATTATCCAATAGAAATTGCAGCATCAGGGACGAGGAAAAATTGGATAACATTTTTCGTAGCATCTTTGTATTTTTTGAGTTATATCTTTGTGAGCAATAATAGAATATATAATACTGACTTGAGTAAGTATTTACCAGGCCTCAATATCGAAGAGAAAACAATAAATATTGACTGGCCAAAATTTCAATCAATATGAATAAGACTTAATATTGAGATGCTATTGAAATATTAATGCACCTGAAGAAGGACTAATTGCGATATTTTCATTATTACTGAAACTAAAAAGCCTTGGAAACCAAAGATATTGGTATTTGTTGGTACCTGTATTGGAAATGAGATCGTAATAAATTGTATTTAAAGTTTATATTCAAATAATATGTTTATTTTAATAATTTCGTAATTATGTAGATAGTCTAGTGGGTTTTGGAGATGATCATAAAATTCTCAAAACTCATTAAGTAAATCTCCAAACAATATTTTTGTGCGTTTTCAATAAATCACTTCGTTTGTGTTTCAACTTTATGAGTAGTCAATATTCTAGTAGTACTTTATTGGTAGTCTATTTTCTTTATTCTAATAAGCATACCTAGAGTTTTATAAGTCCCCTAAATTTAATTATTTCTAGACAACTATTTTGAAGAAATAGTGGTATTTAATCATTTAATCGACCCAAGAATGTGGGTGCTATTGACTTTGTTCAACGTGGTCGGAGGACTTTTGACACAGTCGGAACCGTGTGATTATGATACCAGTGTAGAATTGAATAATAGAACATTCAATGGCGTGCTATACAACGAGGGAGAATTTTACTATGACAATTTAACCAACACGGAGAGAGGATGTATCTGTGAGAAAGAGATTTGTGTAAGAAAATGCTGCAACCCTGGCTTCGTTTACAACGCCACCCAAAATGTTTTCGAGTGTCAACCAGATAACAAAACTGATAAGTTCACTCGAGACCTGAAAGTGCACCAAGGGTTTAACCTCATATCACGAGAAGCGTTCCATCCCATGAAAAAGTTTCATTACATCTACGGTAAAACGGATTGCGACCAATTTAACAACTCTGTGCCCATTGGTTTAAAGCCAAACGACCTTTGGCGATTGTTAACGGTAAGTTTCCATATTTTGTATATTTTTAAACATTTTGTAAGTAGGTATTTAATAAATCGTTGAAATTTCTTTTGTATAAAATAGCTTTTTAATTTATACCGTTTTATATCTCTCTTAAACTGTCAAACACCAAGCGGTCACCGGTGACCGCGACCTATTGTTCTTTAATTGTGTCTATAAAACACGAGTTAATATCGAGATTGTATACCTCATTTAATAGTTTTTCCTGGCTCCAAAAACGGAATATCATTAAAATAGTCTATTTCACTGTCTCTTTATACTCTTCCTCCGAAAATTAATTCAATTAAATATCTAAGTCCTTTAGCGATTTGATATTCATCAACCGAGACTTAGTTTTAAAAAACGATAAAAAATATTCACTCCACCCTATATACATATATATCATCTCGATTTTCTGCAAAAAACAAAAACCTCCTTGTGTATTGTTACGTAATGTAATCAACTTAACCTAAACTACAAATTACCGCGCACATGGGATATTTGCCCATTAAAAATTACGTTTTTTACCATAACATAGTATAAAACACCTAGATGTTACACATTATAACGAGTATTTTCACAAAAATCCTGACTTTGTCCAGTAAGATTTGATAATTTTTCGCCTATGTCTAATTATCCGCGTTTTCGCAAAACCCCTAGGATTTCCGCGAAGATTCGAAGTATCAAATTATCCTACGACACATATACCCATTTAGGAATTACCCAAAAATCACGGGTTACTCACGGCAATAAACTGAGAAAAGCTCTACTAGTTTCGAACCACACAGAGGTTCTTTCTCATGAGCAGCGTGCGCGGTCGCGGCGATGTCGCAAACTCATGAGACCGTGAGTAAGCCGCGAATTTTAATTAATTTAATATGTCTCACGATAGTCGTTATAAAAACATTTGGAAATTAAAACTCATGCATATTTACCAATTTCACATGTTTATGAATTAAATACGAACGAAATTGGACACTTCTGAAATGTTTACCCTCTTTGGTGAAATTAATGGCTCGCTATTAATTTCATTTAATACTTTTAACTTTGCATTTGGCTCATCACTCGCGTTCGTATACTAAAACTATCGTATCAAATAGTATGTTGTGAACTTGTGACTTCGGTGTGTCGTTGTGTTATTTTAAAATATGCTATTTTAAATTTAAACCAAAACGTGGTCTGATCTTATAAACAGGCGTCTTTTAATTGATTTGGTACTTAGTCTACATAGGGCAAGGTTGATTTTTGTAGGCTTGTTTTCGTGTGATTTTAAGTGCTATTGAAAATCAAGCAGGTAGCGACGTAAAAAACTTACTCAAAAAAGCCCATACAATTTAATGCATCCTAACTCGCTATATCTCATCTATTCTACTTTAATTTTTGTAGAATATCATTATGGTTGCTTGATTGCTTAAGAATTAACGTTAGTTAATTAATCAAATTTATTTATATATTTTGAGTGCCTCGTTGGCCGAGTGGTCGCAAATGCGCAAGGCAAAGGGTCTCGGGTTCGATTCCTGGGTTGGGTAAAGTATTACTGGGTTTTTTAAAAACATCTCAGTGGTAGCACGGACTCTGGAAGAGTGTCCGGTATGTGGCAATAGACTCACCGTCTATTACATGGGACCTATAACATAAATAGTGAAAAGTGGGTGTTTCATTGTGAAGTGGTATTTAAGTTCCGTAGGTAATGTACACCTCTGCCTATACCTTCGGGGATAAAAGGCGTGATGTTATGTTATGTTTTGTGCGTTACGTTCATTATAAAATATTTGCAAGTACTGTAGGTACCTTTAAACACCTCAAGGATATTATATTTTAAACGCTTTGTTTGATGGTTCCGGTGATTAGGTTGATCAATCAAAAAAACCACTGACGGCGACAGTAATCAGTATAATATAGAACAGTAGGTATTTTTGTCATTAACTTCTTCAAACCATTTGTTTATTCTTACGTCCGGTACCGGCAACGCACCTGTGAGTCCTGCGGTGTTGCGGGTGTCCATGGGCGGCGCTGATCGCTTACCATCAGGTGATCCGTATGCTCGTATGCCTCCAACTCTATAAAAATAAATATTTTAGTTGGCCAATTCAACTAATTTTATATATATATGTCTTAATTCTATATTCTTATTGCTATGACATGCCATGTGCCTGAAGTTTCAATTATAACTAAAACAACTTTGTTGAATTTATGGATCACACTAAAAATTGTTCCATGCGAGAATGACACTTGCAACACAGTCAATTTAAAACATACGTCATTGCAAATACCTACTAATTTAGGTTTACCTAATCCACCTTTAATTCCAATTATTCGGGGAATTACCGACGCGATGGCATTTAGAACTAGACCTGAATTGGTTCTGAATAAGTTCAAAGTGCGCTTAGTAAGTCATTATTTAGGTATATGGGAATAAAACACAATATATATGTCAAGGATAAAGGATAAATTTACATGATCTGTTTTATTAGGAAATGAAACATAGGTTAAACCATTTCCAGACAACATTTATCTCTGTGTTTAATTTCATCTAATGTCATTCAATCACTATGAAGTTTATACATTTTTTTTAATACCTAGTAGGTACCTAGATATATTGATTTAAACTTTTAAATTTATTTATTAAAATGACATGGACATTAGAAAAAAATGTAGTTTCAATTGATAATTTTGATTTTAATCCTTAACAGTTGTACATTAGGCACATTGTCGATAGTTCCATACTAGTCTACGCGAATATCGATTCATTCATCATCACCATCAACAGTCTCTAGGAGGACACTGCTAACCAAAGGCCTCTTCTAGCACGGAGAAGGTTTGAGCATTAATCTCTACGCTTGCTCAATACGAGTGTTGGCGATTACCTACAAACTTATAATTATAAATTATTAGCCCAGGTTTCCTTACGATGTTTTCCTTCACCGTTTATCATTGGTGTCTAGATAATCTTAGTAAATATAAATTAATATTATATGCAATATAAAAAATAATATTAGATGCAAAGTACATATAAATCGGGAAAGTTACATTGGTACTTGCCGTTGGTAGGATTCGGACCCGCACTCTCATGCATGAGAAGCGGGCATCATAAGCCTCGGGGCCACCACGTTATAGCGTCGATGTAGATGCATTATGTATATACAACTTATGTAAATATGTATATAGATGTACAGAGTTACAGACTACAGACCTGTCATACCTACTTTGAAAGCTAAACCGGTTTTTGTGCGAAAGTTCAATGTCCAATAATATAATGAAACAAAGTTTTAAAAGTCATACTCAATGTTCAAGGTAGAAAGCATAGAACTATGCAATATGAAAATTGTAATAATATGTATTTAGTATTGATTCATTGCAATTTATCCAACAATAATTATTCAATATCAAAATATACAACCCCTATCGCAGCTGTTAAAATAGCATTCAGAGTACGAAGTATAAAACCAAACTCAATACCATTTAGTTGATTCAATATCCGCGGAATACGGATGCAATGGGCGCTAGTGTTGCAACTCAAGAGTAAGAAAGATCACAATACCAATGGCGATCGATCGAAATTGGATTCAAGAGTAAGCCCCCAGTTCATTTATCAAGCTTGGTAAATAATGGTCATTTTTCGTGTGAAAAGAGGCTTTTACTCAGCAGTAAATACTTACCGTCTGATGGTAATAGTGATTATGATATAATTCGTGATCTGACAAAGAGAGAAAATGGATTTACCAACATAACCCTAAAGAAGTTAGCAAGCCGTGGGCGGGTAGCATTTGTAGGAGATCCGATGGCCATTTGAGCAAACTTGTAGTGAAATTTAGATCAAATGTATACAAACGCTAGCTACTTAAATAAAGTTACGATATCCGCAAACTGGCTATATACAAGGAGTTCAAAATCGGGGACAATGATGTGTTACTGTGTGTGTGTGTGTGTGGTATGTCCAGCAATGGATAGAATACGGACCAATGTTGATGATGAATTAATAAAAGTAACAACACTAGTACTTATGACGTTATGAATTTATACAAAATTATGTGTACATTCATAAAACGCCATACCCATATAATCAAGCACATATTACACACTAAAATGCATTACATTATTATTGGGTTTTTAAAAATTCGGAGTCTGGAACTGAGCCCGGTATATGGCAATAGGCTCACCCCCTATTACATGGGACTCATAACATAAATAGTGAAAATTGGGTGTTACATTGTACAGTGGCATAATGTGCACCTCTGCCTATCCCTTCGGAGATTAAAGGCATGATGTTATGTAATGTATTATATGTAATAATGTTTAAATACGACAAACAATTCTTAAAACGTAACTATGAGAAGAGAACTTAAATTTTATGACCTACTTTTTATTTTAGGCTACTCAATATGAGTCACTTTTAATGTAAACAACGAAAACAACATCAAAACCGGTTCAGCCGTTTCGACATAAATTATAAATAGCAAACAGATAGATGTAACACAGATACCTCATTGTATGCTCACAAGGAGGCATAAAGTAATCACTACTGACTAGTAAATAAACAGTCATAAATATAAGTATTACAACATATATGAGAAGCCGATCAAAATAGTCTACATAGATACCTGCTACCATGGAAACGTTAATAAATATTTTTGATTGTGAAATTTAAACCATCTTCGACATTTAATAAGTATTTTGAGTTTGTTAATGTTAATTGAGACGGTTATAACTATTATTTCAATATGGCTGTGAAATACCTAAAAGCTAATGGACTTAAAATAAGTAGGTATGCATTTAAATACAAATACAATACATTAGCAAAAATAATTTCCTTAATTACAATTTAGTTGCGAAATATGTAATTAGGTAGATACATTATTTTGGTAGATTGCTCATCCCGCAATGGGAAAAACACAATGAAAAATATTGTTTCAAATAAATTAATACGCACACGCTAACAATGCCTACAACCAGTAGACAATCTAACGTAATTGTTATTTACCGTGCGACGACGGGAAACCCTAGCGAAGTAAACTTGAATTGACAGTCACTATTAGGCCTGCGCACGCGACGATCGTACCGAAAGGCGCAAGCGCTCAGCCATAACAAAATGCAGACGATAATAGTGTTTATTGTGTTCACAATAATAACTCAAACTGTATCACAATGTGACAAAGAATATAGTGTAGAATTAAAAAACCGGATGTATAAAGGTGTTAAATATGAACCACATGAAATAATAGTGGATAATGTGACTAAAGTGGAAAGGGGATGTGTGTGTTTGAAGGAAGTTTGTGCCAAAAAGTGCTGTCCCTTAGGCCAAGCGTATAACAGGGAGCTGAAGATATGTGTCGAGATCTCAAAACCATTCAATCCTCCAGTCTATAGAGAGTATCAGTTGTTACCAGGATACAATGCAACGAAGGAGCTACACTTTTTCTACGGAAAAATGAACTGTTCGGATGAGCTAGAAGAAATTAGAGTCCCAGTAGCTCCTGCTTCGTATAATTTTCATTTAAGAACGGTGAGAATTTTATATGTAGTATGTCTTAGTCATGATATCCTGGTATTTTTTTTGCCAATAATAGAACCGCAGTATGTGATGGATTCTCGTACCAACACATCGCGAACTTCGTGAATAACATTCGTGAAAGTAGTTTTTGATAGATTTATTTTTTGCCTTATCGACGCATAGCAACTTTCTTTCTTAATTAATATACCTCTAAGTATATATACATAGATACATAATAGTGTAAATAAATGACAACGATTGCTTTCAAAACTATGATAAGTAGTTGTTTTTTAAATGTCTCTTTCATTTTTTTACGTGAATTGTTATCAGGTATAGATAATATGTTGCAAATCATTAACTTAAGTATTTAGTATCAATTTTGATGCTTTATGTATAGGCATACTTCATTTCAAATAGGTACCTACATAATAACATCTTTGAACATTTACAATAAGTTTTACAATACGTAGATAAATCAATACTTGTTAATCCTATATGCAAGTTAATTCTATTATCGACCAATTACATATCTCATGTCAAAACAACGGTTTTTTAAATAAGATGTCTACCGCTTCTACGGTAAAAGCGAGTTTATTTACAGTTTTTATTGGTTTTAATGAAAAGAAAAAACAAAAAAATTCGACTCATTAAAAAAAAAGTATATATATATATTTTTTTTATTTATTTACCTCTATATCAGGCAACGAAGGCCCATATTAAAATACAATAATACTATAATATCTACTATACAATGTAGGGACCAAGCTTGCGTACCGTAAAATAGATGGGATGGATCTCGAAGTGAATATCGACTGAAGAGAGGTGAATAAATATTGGGATATTCTTCATAGTATCGGTTCAACCATCTTCTGTCTCTATTCACTTTTCAAAGCCGCGGAGAACCTAACGGGTTACCGGGGCTCCTTCGGCTCGAAGTGCAGGAGTAGGAACAGGGTGATTTTAGTCAGTAAGGGTCTGACACTCCCTCATTCTGAAAGGCATTAGATGACATTGCCCCCTTAAAAAAATAATTCACATTTCAAACCCTATTCACCCCATTTTACCTTTCTGATCTTTTAGAAAAATATCCACTCCTACGTTAATAAAAGTTGGTTGCGAAACGGCAATGTTATCATTATTGGTACACACGGCTACACATAGAGCTTTACATAACCAGTATAAACTGAACGTTAAATGTCCGGAAAGATGATGCGACGCGACACCAGGATAAACTGGTTTTGTATAGGTTGATGTGTGGCCGTGTGTACAATGAAATCACCAGGTTAAAACTTTAACCCGTTTTTCAAGTCGGCCCTTAATTCGATAATGTTTTTAAAACACGAGTGGTTTGACCTTCGGGTACCACGCAACTTATTAAGGATTGAATAAGTCTCTTGGCAAAACAACGAAGATATTATACCTTCATATTATAGTACTAATTTGCGTTAATGAAGTGCGGCTTTTCATTCTTATACTCCGAAAATGGTAGCCTAATTTTTCCCCTCCCCAATTTCCCCAATCCTCAAATGAAACAAGTGAAACAAGTGAATTTATTTCTGCAAATAGGCTACAAGGCAACACTTTTACACGTCCAATTTTATCAAGCGAACGATGAAGCCTACATTTCCTAACTGACTACTCTGAGAAGAAATGCCGAAACAAACTCAGAGGTCTTTTAACCTCTTTTAACCTCAACCTCTTTTAACCTCAACCTCCAAATCCCAATGCTCAAACCCTCAAAATGCCGACAATGCACTTGTGACTCCTCTATTGTTGCAAGTGTCCATAGGTGCTGCTGATCGCTTATCATTATAGGTGATCGGTTTGCTCCTTATACTCCCAAAAAATAGCTAAGAGTTTCAGAACAATGTATGCATTGTATATACATATATACAAATTCAAACAAAGATTTTATTTCATCCCGACCTAATGTTCTACCTTGTGACATTAGATACGCTAATGGGAGTTGATAATAAATCAATTAGTTAAATACTTAAGTAATTTATTAAAGATATCGAAAGAAAAAACATGTTATTAACTGACAATAGTAGAATTTTTAAGACTTTTCGGGTTATAGATTTTTTTTAGTTGTAATCGAATTGTGGGTGTTTTTATGGCATAAGTCCTACTATACGGAATTTAAATCTGTACTATAATATTATAAAACTGAAGAGTTTGTTTTTTTGTTTGTTTGTTTGAACGCGCTAATCTCCGAAACTACTGGTCTGATTTTAAGAATTCTTTCTGTGTTGGATAGCCCATTTATCGAGGAAGGCTATAGGCTATAAAATATCACGCTACGATGAATAGGCGCCGAGCAGAGCGAGTGAAATTGCGCGAAAGTAGCTAGCTAGCTACATATGGAGAGAAGACAATGTTTTATAGCACTCGTTGCATTGCATCTATGCCTATTCTTTGCCTGAGTCTGTATTTCCTGAAGGGATAAGGTACCTGCGTGTCTTCAAGGCTCGAGTGAATAGGTTGCTTATGGGACGACGTGTTCCATCGTAGACCGTATCACCGCTTACCACCAGGCGAAATAGTGGTCAAACGTCGACCCATCAAGAAACCTCTGATGTTATGTTATGTATACCTCTAAACGTAAAATACCTTTGTAATTACCTAATTGTCAATTTTACCGGCACTTGCACTCATGCGACGCTACAATAAATCATCGAATATTCTTCATTATGCTTTAGCTGTTTAATAAATTCACATTTCAATATTGAACCGGTTAATATATACGTATTTACTTACGTAGACATAGGTATAATCAACCAGTTTCAAAACCTGTGTTTACGGTCTCAGGCATCCTAAATTTTATTAAGGATTTATTTTAAATTAGTAACAAAAGAACAACCAAACAGTGTGGATGTGTGAAATAGTATTAAATTTGACAAAATGAAAACGATTTGGCCAACGTTGGCGATCATATTTGCAATTGTTATTGGAGTACATTGTCAAAAACCGCCTTGTCATTATTATGCTAGTGCCGAGTTAATTAATGGTTCGTACCTTGGACACACATTCAATGAAAGTGAAAAATTTATCACTGATGATGGTAAAGAGAGAGGTTGTGTGTGTCTCAACGACAAACGTTGTGTTAGAAAATGTTGCCCTTTCGGCATGGCCTACAATGTATCAGTAAAACAGTGCATGGAGTTACCTAGTCAAAATTATTCGGACCGATTTGCGTTATTTCAAGATGATGTTAGAGATAATTATTTCTTTTTAATTGGAAAAATGAGATGTGATAAGGAAAATAATGAGTTGAGATTGCGCGTGCATCCATCATCCAAGGAGTTCAGTTTGCACGAGGTGAGATATTACTCGCTTAAAAACCACTACATTTATTACGTTTATAAATTGTTACTTAGTTAATATATTTACCATAAGGATTACTTATAATTTTTTACGCAAAGGCTGTTAGAGTAAACGAAGATCTCTTGTTAAATCACTTATTTGGTAATCTCAAACTATCGGGCATTAATATATGAAAGCTTTAGTATAGGTACAATTGAAAAAATAGGATTAAAAACAATTTACAAGTATTCATTGTATGTATGTACGTACAAAAAGTGAAGCGAGTCTTCGATACTTATGATTAAGAATTTAAGTGTTAAGGTCACTATGCCGGTTTCTAAAGTCAACCAGTTTGGAACGTACAATGCTATATGAATAGTTCGAATCGCAAGTCCGTCAAAAAGAGGTTTTGCTTCCGTCATACAAACATGTACTATCATATTATTTATCTACATTCTAAAACATGATAGACCAAATTACATGTAATCTCTATCATTATAAAGTCCTAATTTATTTAAAAAACTTTGAATGATCGGGTATAGGGTAATGTCTATCATAGACATAGACTCATAAGATTTAGACTCATAGATATAGACTCATAGATATAGACTCATAGATATAGACTCATAAGATAACCAGGTAGTGAAAAATGTAGGGTGTTATTATTTTATACGTGAACCTCTGAAGACTCTAAAAAAATTTTAACACCTATTAAGCATTAATATGTTTAGACAAAGACAACAACAATCTACAAAAACTTTTAATAGATTTTAAGTTTTATGGTGTTGTAACACGGTCGACAACTCATTGTAGAAAAAGTGTCCTTTATTTATCATCTGTTTTGGTATAAAAATGTATGACAACCTGTCCTTTGACGGTTGGTAGCATTTATAATGTACAGTTTGTAAATAGATTTATACGTGTACAAAGTAAGAAAAAATCTTAAAAAACCGAAGAATATAACCGGAAGAATAAATTTCAAGAATGTTAATGCGTTTTCGACCTTATTACAAAACGATAGAGTTGAATCAAACCAAATATTTTTGTGCACATCGTCGATCTAGCACCAAATGGACAAAAAACTTCATTGTTTATTGACGTCTGCCAATCAATTCCAGAATGAACTTTATAATAGTCACACAGAGCTGTATGTACTATCTGCTACAGAGGCTTTAGTACGAGTAATCGTAACGAGTACGCGTTCCGCGCTCTGATTGGTTGCTTTATTGGTGCCGGCCAATCAGAGTGCCGAACGCGTACCCGTTTCGAATACTTTAAAACGTAAATCAAATTTGTACTAAGGCCTCTGAAGTCATTTTAGCCGGTTCTTAAAAACTTGTTCCAATACCTAATTTAAGACATTGAAAAGTTCTAGATTGTCATCGGTCTTGTTTTAACATCGATCAATAAATAAAAGAAATAGAAAACAAGACACGTACAAAATTAGGACTTAACATTGTCTGCATAGTAATCATATTTGTTTGCTATTAAACCGGGAATAAGGTTTTAAAACATTTTCTTTTCAATCTTATAACCACAACCATTGTACTTTGTACTAGAGTTACAAATCTTTAAAAAAACAATGTTTTTTGAGAATGTATGTGTAAGTATTAGAAAATGTTATTGAATAATATAATGTCTAACTAACACAGTTATATTAATCTAACAGGACTATTCGCTTTAACAGCGCCATCTGTGATCATTATAAAAACTGCACTAACTACCTAACCGTAAACTAACACGGATAAGTTCACACTAATCACTTAATTTGAACTTGAACTTGAAGTATTTACAAAAGCAGACAACCCAAATAGGGACAATTTTGTCTGATCCGATAACCAAACTTGAACTTGTCACTCCATATGGTACGAACAGTTCCGCGCGCGCCTCAAAAAGCCATCAGACCACCACAGATGGGGCCCAATAGGGCCGATGCCGATTCGAAGTCGCGGAGAATCTAACGGGTAACCGGGGCTCCGGCTCGACGTGCAGGAGAAGGAACGGGGTGGTTTTAAGTCAGTCAGAGTCTGACACTCCCTCCCGCCTCACCCAGGCGGGAGCGGTCATTCGATGATTTCGCCCCTTAAAAAAAAAATGGTACAAACAGTTGCGAACGGTTTCTGCTTGCACAGGAGTTGGTCCACAACAAAATAACAAACTTACTGTAAATACCTTACGTTGTAGTGTCGACAATGACGCTAATGGTTGTCATGAAAACACCAAACTAAAAGTGGTGTCTCTAACTATTGCAATGCATTCTTGGCATTTCTCCAACTGGGTTAGATAGTGGACATTTTAAATTAAATATTAAAGGTCTACATGTTGGCAAAGGTATATGTAATGATCGTAAACAATCTGTGATAGTACCAACTATAGTGGACAGATGGGCATTGTTAGATAAAAGGGTTTCCCAACATTTCTAAGCTTGGTTGACGGGTAAGGACACATATTTTACTCTGCAAGGCTTTTTTTCTTGGCATGCTAATTCGCAATGATTCGATATTTTTCTCGTAATGTCTCTTATTAAGGGTCTATTTTTGGAACGATGTTAAAACTGAGGTTCATATAAAAGCATTTTGTTCAGGATATAATTTAATACTCGTTGTTTGGAATTGTAAAACCTTATTCAATTTTTCTGACCCGGACATCAAGCCGGATTTAAAAACACATTGACCGATCTGCTAATGAGTCTTTAGATTTACCGACCTACTGTCCATTATACTAATCTATCTACATAATACTGAAGATGTACCGAATATAATCGTAGTCGGCTGGGTGTCGAAATTCTCAAATATTTGATCAACATATATTTAGGTTCAGTGTGTCTCAAAAATTGCAGTTGATTTTGTATTTGAAGTAGCTTAATATCTCGTAACTAGTGCTATTTATAGGTACTATAATATTAATTAGGAGATTAGTTTATTTATTATTGAAAATAGTAAACAATAGTATATAATCTTATAAGTACCTACTTTACATTGATGCAGTTTTACTCCGCTGGCGATCGCATTATCAGCACCAGGCAGATATACAATGATTTATAAACAAAACTTGAATTAAGTAAAAGTTTATGTCAAATATATTGACTTTTCTATTGTATTTTATTCTATTCTATCGGAATGTATGCTATTTGGTTAACAGAAACTACTTACCGTGCTTCGATCCCCCGATCTATGCTGTCGAGTTGAAGAGTACCTACGTATCACTACAAGCAATTATTACCATTGAACTTTTTATGTACCCGAAGGCGCCTGGGCATCATCAGCAAAAACCCACACTTTGCGGTCCATAGAAGTATCCAAACTAGTCGATTAATTTTACTGTATCTATAAGTAAATAAAGACCTATGATCTCTTACGTTATTCTATCTTTGCTTATTGGATTACCAAATATGTAGTTGATATGTATGACAACTTTAAAACTTAAACGAGTGTTTTAGAATAATTTACTTATAATATTATTATTTTTTTTTGTTATGTAGCCCAAAGTGTCTTCAGAAGTATTTAAAAAATGTAGTACCTATTTAAAAGATACGTTGATATCACTCTTAGTTACTTACTCAGTGCCTCCTGGCTGTTACTGATAACACAATGTGTCTATCGTGAATATGAAACAAAAATCTTTGGCCTTCGATTGTATGTACCCATAACCAATTTTTGCCGGTCGCATAATATAATAAGTGTCTGCCATTCTGTACTAAATCGTAATAACAAGAGAATCCATGATAAAACTTATTTTCGATAACCTTGTGTATCCGGCTAGTAAAATTGTTATAAAAATGTTAATGGAATCCGCTCAATGCTGAGTCATAGTGGTTACCTCCATAATCGGTGGTACATACCTATCGTATCCTTGAAGTCATTAAACCGTGGTTGCGCAAAAAAGCTGCGTCTCGCTCCCACGACCGCGTGTAATCGCTTTGTATTTACCCGCTAATGATAACAACAAACACCTTTTCCTTCTATCTTAATATATTTTATACACCTCATCAATCATAATAGATATTATTATTTTATTGCTACATATGCTTATGCCATAATCTACCTCTGTTCCAAATTTGATTCCGGTCCCTTCAGCCGTTTTGATTTGACTGGGTAACAAACATACTCACAAACACACAAACTCACGTATTTTCACATTTATAATATCAGTTTAAATCTAATTTCAGCCATCGGCCCCTCAGTTACAGCGTAAAGTCCAATGCGGACAACCTAACATTCGACATAACTTTGTCTAGGGATTGAGCCGCACAATTAGGTTTATATACATTTTCGGGAAAAAAGTAGGTACCCTGTGTTGTGCCTAGAACATTAAAGTACTTAGGTATATTCATAGCAAGTTTTACCGTAATCAGACCGGTAGTATTTCCGTGATGCATGAACATACAGACAGATATTTTTTTTTATTTAGTGTCGGTGTCTATCTTGAAACCCCCCCATACTATTTTTTTAATATTTTCTATGTATTTTTACACCTCTACAGTTTTGTTATAATTGTATAGATATAAATGTTCACCTTTTCTTAAATCTGGGGACTGAGAACATAGTGGAATTATGTATATGTATAATTACGTACCTACGAAATATAAATAAATTGTTCTAAAATTAACAAATACTGGTCTCATCCAGACACAAAACAACAATTTGCGTCATAATTATGATAAGTATATTATTATAACCTGTATGTATTCTCTTTGCAGGATGGGAAGCTGTACGTGAAAATCGACACTTCTGTTAAGGTCCTAATCTATGATGCGAGCAAATACTGCATCGACACGTTTGTCTCTGACACTGAAGAACCACACCTCAACGCCCTCATCTGCTTTGTCCCGAAGCCGGAACATAACAACTATACTATGAGCAGCAGTTGTAAGTACTATCAGCAGATACAGTACCTTAATATTATACAATTGAAAACTGGTTCTTCAGAAACTTCACTCATTCAGCGAAATACAACGTAAGAGTTGCTTAATGCCAGTTTGCTGTGAGGCCGTCATATCGGTTGAGATGGTCCATTTGCATCAAAGTATGGCTCCCTGTTTATTACCTCATTGGCTGAGTGGTCGCAAGTGCGATTACCGGGCAAGGGGTCTCGGGTTCGATTCCTAGGTCGGGTAAAGTATTGCTTGGTATTTAAAAACAAAACTCAGTAGTAGCACGGAGTCTTTTTTTTTGTTTTTTTTTTTTTTGAGGGGCGAAAATCATCCAATGACTTCTCTCGCCTGGGTTAGGCGAGAGGGAGTGACTCTTACTGACCAAAAACCACCCCGTTCCTACTCCTGCACTTGGAGCCGGAGCCCCGGCAACCCGTTAAGTCTTCCGCGGCGCTGTATCGGCATCAGCCCTGTTTGGCTCTGATCTGTGGTGGTCTGATGGCTCCTTGAGGCGCGCGCGGAACGCGACGCGCCGCACGCTAGTAGCACGGAGTCTGAAATTGAGCCCGGTATATGGCAATAGGCTCACCGTCTATTACATGGGACTCGTAACATAAATAGTGAAAAGTGGGTGTTACATTGTACAGTGGCAACTGGCATTATATGCCGTAACGTTCGTCTGTCTACACCGATAAAAGGCGTGATGTTATGTTATGGCTTCCTTACGTAAATAATTTATTTTTACTAGCTTCTACCAGCGGCTTCTCCAGCATTCATGAAGGATAAAAAGTAGCCTATATTCCATTCCAGTCCATAATCTACCCCAGTTCCAAATTTCATTCCGATATATTCAGCAGTATTGGCGTGAAAGAGTAACAGAGAAACAGACACAAACTTTCGTATTCACTAATATTTCGTTTTTGCAGGTATGCTGATATCCTGTTTCTTTATTCTCCTCACCGTGGCAGTGTACGCATGGCTGCCTGAACTGAGGAACCTTCATGGAATGGTGCTGATGGCATACCTACTCAGTTTCTTCGTCGGCTTCCTGTTCCTAGCTACTATGCAGATCCTTATCCTATTGAAGGAGATATCCGAAGATATATGTATCGTTCTAAGTAAGTACCAACTGGATTATATTTTTACTACTTTATTTATTCCACTCTAGAAAGGGTGTAGAGATGCTAGCAGTCCGGAACGCCTCATAGTGACTGGTAAGGTAGAAGGAAAGAGACCGAGAGGCCGGAGTCCCATACGGTGGTCTGACCTAATATCCAAGGAGCTGGAGATACCTATGAATGTTGCAATGCACCAAGCAACGGAACGAGATAAGTAGCGACATCTAGTGAGCAGAATCAGAGGGTGTCACGATCCTCAGCAGTGAGGGAATCGACTAAGAAGAAGAGAGAAGAAAGGGTGTTGTGTTCTAGATAAACAATAATGAGCCGTGTTCATATTTGTAAGCGTTCATAGTTGTTTATCGAGTAACTACAAATTAACATGAACTTCCGTCCTTTTATATCCTGAATGGGCAGGCAGGCGAGCATATCAAATAATAACGGCGCAACCACAATTCTTGAAGGATGAGTCTGTTGCCATAACATATTTTTGTTTTTGGAAAACCGTTAAAAAATTATAATACTTTGCTTGATCAAGGATTCAGGAGTCCTCTTGTTAGGCAGATGTGCATGAAATAATTAACCAAAGAGGTAGGATTAGTAGGTAAGTAGATTTTTGTAGGAGGAAACTATATCCTAATAATATAATAAATATTAGCGTTACGGCAATTAAACTTCGCAAATATTATTCTGCGTATTATTTAATTAGGTAAATTATTTAATGATGTTTCTGCTCAAACTGGTAAACACCTTGATTTAATTTAATCCACAATAAAAAGGGTATTATAATACTGTTAAGTTCACATAACAATCTTAAATTCGAAAAAAAAACTGTTTTAGATATTCAAACATACTGTTTTAGTGAGTAACAAAAATCGTAGTTCCAATATTTAAGGTTTAAAATAAAACATTTGATTTGATATTAAGAATGTTTCAGTTAAATAGAAAATAAATGCAAATTATAGCAAATCGGTAGGTGTTTTAAGTGTTTATAAATCTGCTGACAACTTCCTCAAGGAACCCAACTAATACTTAACCAACAAAAACCAACCTTAACAACCAATAGTTTGTCATCAAGTCTATACAATAATTTTCCTTCCGTCCAGCTCACTAGTTTTCAAGAAGTATGATAAATATGGTCCTCTAAGTTCCGTCTCACTACTGTTGAATAATTTTCTGTAATGGTGAAAACTTCATGAATATTTTTTCAAATAATAATTGATTTTCGACAATGTTTATAAACTTTGACCAATAGTGTGTGTGCATCATTAGGTGACTGGCACACACTTTCAAACATTTCAAACGTATCATAGGTAGGTACAAAAATATCTACCAATAAGAGTAAAGGAAATTTCACTAAAAGTTTAAAATTATAGAGGTAAAATCGGTTCTTCTTTTCTATTTTATGTCATGCGACTGCTGGCAGCCATATTGTGAAGAATACAAAGAAAAGCAAAAGAAATATATTAGCACACAACTCCTCTAATTTGGCCCAAGGTCGAAATTATCGAACTTTCAAACAATAAAAACGTCTGCTCATTTTAAAAAGTCATAATACAAACATTTCATAACATTCTTTCATTCATTTTCGACGTTTAGTTTGTAGTTCAAATCATAAGCAGTTTTGCAAAATTTCGCTTTTTATTGAACTAATATTAATTAAAAATAAAAAACATATAGGTATAACTTAAGATATAAAAGGATAAAAATTACTAAAAATAACTATTTACACAGAGCATCGAAAAATTCGTCCGCATCGACGTCAATAGGGAAAGTATCCAGAAGGTTTTGTAACAATACATGATTATATTTTTATAAACACTCGACTCTATTGCCACCAATTATTGTCACATTTGGAAAACCCAAAAGCACAATGAGACTAGTTAGACCAAAATTACGTACTCTTTGCTTAAGAAATGAAGATTCGCATTATAAAATAAATACCATTGCGGTTAAAATATAAATATCGCCTACGACATCTCCACAAGTGTAAAAAATGTGGTATACCCAAACCAGCGAGTAATTTACCTATGTATATACTTCTTAAACGAACAGAGCATTAGTCAAACATATTTGTCAGTGTCTGTTTGTTTGTCCGTCTTTCACAGTAGAACGGAGCTAGAAATTGACGTGTTTTTTTTAAGTGGAGATAGTTCAAATAATGGAGAGTAACATAATTTTGTGACTAGTAAAAAAACCGTGGACCATTTCTTTTTTTTTCTTTCGTAACCACGTCCCCTAACTTCTTAAAAGAGCGCGAGCGAAGCTGCGGGCAGAAGCTAGGAGATAATAGTTATGTATATGATTTTCCTTATGATATTGAATAAGGAAAATATTGAGCCCCGGCAACACGTTACGTCTTCCGCGGCTCCGTATTGGCATCAGCCTTGTTGGGCCCCATCTGTGGTAATCTGATGGCTCCTTGATTTGATGGCTCCTCGCTCGAGCCTGGTTCTGGTCGGGCGACGAGTCATCCTTGTTCGCCGTCCGCAGGCCCGTGCTTACGGTGGCCGGAGATCGTCCCGCGATCCCCGACGCCCGGAGTCTCGCGACGGCTGGAGCGTGAGGAGGGAGACCCCTTGCCTAGCAGTCACACTTAGTTAAATAATAATGTACTTTTATGCTCATTTTTAAGGGAATAAAAATTAATATGTGTGTTATTGATAACTAACAGTTAACCTTTTGTTCTAGCTTTCATCGTCTACTTCTCTCTTCTGGCAGCGTTCTTCTGGCTGAACGTGATGTGCTACGACATCTGGTGGACTTTCAGGTATATTCTTGTTAATTACTCGTTATTTTTGGCTTGTTACAAATTTCCAGTAAGAGGGTGAAATCTTGGTATTTCGCCCTGTTATCTTTGACTATAAACAAAGTTGGTAAAGTAATGTGTTTCATTGATTTATATGCACAATTAAAGTCACGTTGTTATATTACGTTAAATCACTGTCATTCATTTATAAATAGAGGTAGGATATTTATGTTTTGAAATATCATCGGTTTTGTTACTGACTTCAGCCTGATAGCAATGTTTTTGGCTGAAAGTACATAGGTGTAGGTGTTAGATTTAACAACATACATAAATAACCTCACGCCAGTCTCCCATGGCAGTAGACTTAGACATAGTCTATGCCGACATGGCGTTCCAAAGAACGTACGAACGTATCTACTTATTGTAATTAAGGGACAAGATTTAAATAATATATAATTATTTATTCCTCTCCAGTGGCAAACGAGCTCATGGCCGTAGTGGTTCACAAAACAAGAGGTTTTTGTGTTACGCCATCTACGCTTTTGGAGTGCCAACGATCCTGACCATCGTTTTAGCAGCTCTTGAATTTTCCAACATTCCTTTGCATCCTCTTCTGCCTAAACTTAGGTTACAAGGCTGTTTCTTATACGGTAAGAGTCATTATTACTAGTTTACTTTTACACAGCCTAATATGTTTGTAACGCGAGCAGATCTCGAACTAGTTACAACGATTATTACCAAGTCATGGACAGCTATAACTTGTGCGAATTACGACCATGTATTATGATTTATTATAATACTTCATGATATTAAAGAAAATAAAGACAATTCACAGAATTTTTTAATGCCTATTTAGTGGTCTGACGTTTGGCCACCATCACGCTTAGTGGTAAGCAATGAAGCTGCCTCCTTATGTGAATGATATGAGAATAGAAAGTAAAGCGAAAGGACATGATGGGGTATCGTCTAACAATATAGAAAATGTGATATCTTCAGATAGGACATAAAAGAAGAATAATGGGATTAGAGCAAATGTAAAAGAAACAGAAAAACTTTCTGATCTAAATTTCTAATTCCATAATGACTAAAGCGTCAACAAGTTTTAAATTGGCTAAAGTGATTTTTTCTAATTATATTCTGAAATGGACCACTTTTTAGAAGTTTCACCAAATACATCACTAACTTTGTTTGAACGAATTTCAGGTAACAGCAAATTGCTGTACTTGTATGGACCGATTGTGATCCTCTGTGTGGCGAATTTGATCTTCTTCGCGCTGACTGCCTTCAAGATAGCAAAAATTAAAAAAGAAACCAAAATGCTGCGAGACAAGGAGAGCTCCACACATGACCAGGACAGAAAAGATACTCAAAGGTGAGTTCTAACAGAAACTAATTTTCTTATAATAAGTACTAAAAGAAATGCCGTAATAACATACTAATAATGATTTTTGTTAAACTAAATAAGCCGATGCAGACATCTTCCAAACATATTTTTATTATTGATTAATTAATTGAAAATGGTTTCATTTCACTTTTAATAACAGAGTGTGAATTATGAAGCGAGATTTTGTACGAATATTAGAGTAAAAAACTCAAATCTAAAGTCTCGTGAAGCATTTAATATTGTTTTAATAGTCCCAAAATAAACGTGAGGCAAAAAATTAAATATTTTTAGAATGATGATCGAGTCTAGCAGAAACTCTGAGTTAAACTAAAATAGCTTTTACGAGCGAGAGCATAAGAAACCATGAAAGTTCAAACCATTCTATCATACATTAATTGTATAAACTGCTATGATTAATAAACTAATTTGCGTTTTAAAACTTGATTTATATTCACCATTTTTATTTCTGTTTTATGTTTGTAAATAATATTATGTTAAGTTTACTAAAAACAATTTTATTGGGGCCAAAAGTTTGAAATTAAAATGTTCCAGGTTTACTCTCTACGTCAAGTTGTTCACTGTCATGGGCATCAACTGGATCTTGGAGGTGGTCAGCTCCTTCTACCCTGAAGCTGACGTGTTCTGGCAGTTCTCTGACGCTTACAACGTGCTCGTCGGCCTAATCATCTTCATTATCTTCGTCTGCAAGAAGAAGACTTGGAGAATGATCAAGAAGAGGTTCGTCAAGCTTTATAATTGTCTCAGAAGAGGCAATAGGGGTGGTGGATTACTTTGACTTCGATAGCTTAACTTTGTTTCATTTTCATTTTTATTCTTATTTTCCCACCTTTCATGTTATACACAACAATGCAAGTTTTAAACTGTGCGTATTACGTATACCAACAGTGCCGTGAAGCATGAATTGGTTCAACAATTGTGGAAGGGCTTCAATGTGCGTTATTTGATAGTAATAATTGACCAACGTTTGCATTTGATTTAGTATAACGGCTTAAAGTTATTAAATTGTACCCTTACATAAGTTTTAACATGGTAATTGGAAAACTCAAATACGTTAGACCAAAACTATGAAAACGATTTATTAATGAGCTCCACCAGTCTGCTGGAGCTCATTAATATAATACTGATGACGGACAATATGATATTGATGCATTTAGTAATTTAATTTAATTAACGTAACCAAAGACCTCATGATTGCATTTAAACAAGTACTTAAATATGTTTTTGTCAAACTATATTCCAAACTGTTCAAAATATCCTAAGTTTGCCTCGTTCTGTATCCAGGATCAAAGATTACCAACGTTCCAAATCTAATAACACACAGCAAGAGATAAATGGCAATAACAGACAACTAGCCCAATGGAGAACTCAACCAGATAGAACATCTAGTTTGGAAACCATTAGAACAACGGATGGAGATAGAAGTTCGAGAAGCAATAAATCTGTTAACATAAATCCGCAGTAGTCAACCGACAACGTAGTAGAAACTCCTGCACTGACAGAACCAGATGATTTCAACGAAGACAATATTAATAAATCAGTTATGATAAAACTAATTTACAATAATTAGAAGAAGAAGCAAAAAAGGCTAGAGTTGAAGGCTACACAGAAACAAGACTGGTAACAATATTAATAAAGACTTTAAACAAATGAATATAAAGGCAGAAATGGAATGTTTGGAATATAGTACGAGAGAAAAGGTACAGAAAAGTATTCTACACAAACTATAGACTAGAATCTAGTGAATGGTAGTCCTTTACTAACTTTTGCAATGTGTTGGCAACTAATTGTGAGGGCTTGTGTTGGTAGTGTGTGGGTTGGAATTAGACTAAGTTTTTTGTAAAATATAAGCTGTGTGTCAATTTACTTACTGAAATATAACTTGTATGAGAAAACAAACATAATGTTTATATTTTATGCACCGAAGGATATCCTATCTGCACATTTCGTTAACAATTTTGGTTTGGTTTGCACGGTTGAAATGAGACTTTAATCGTTACGGGTTTAGGTAGATTTTACATTAGAGGTGATCGAGAAAACGAGGCGGGTGGAGGAAGATGACTAGAAACTATCGAAATAAACAAAGTACGTAGTTTGTTGCTGACAATAAAATTAAAAGCATCGACATGTTTCGCTTTGTTTTGAGGATTTTCTGTGACACAAGCTTTATATTGCTTCTTTTATTACTATACTTCTTATGTTACTATACTTTTAGAAACGTCATTGAGTTGTATTTGTATTTAAAAGGAGAATTGAGTATGACTAGCTACTATTTAAACTAGTCAAATACAAGTTTTAATTTAATTAGTTGTAATAAGAAAATACAAGGATTGACGTCATGGTTATTTTTTCCTCGACCAAATATATTTAACATCTCATTTGCATTGTAACGAGTAAATGAATGAGATTGTGTATATTTTAAATGTTTTTTATATATATATAGTACTCCAGGCCATTACTGATTATATAATTATATATATTGCGACAATATAATATGATGACGATTTTGCATTGTTTTGCTTTTAATGACTGAGCTTTTTTGTTGTGTATAACAATTCTTGAAATATTGTCTAGTCTTAAGGTCGATTTTTCAATGCTCAGATAAATTTTAACTGAGGAATGACTTTGAATATTTGACAATTCTTCCATACTAAAAACTGTCGAATGCACATTTATTTCTACAGTTAAGAATTAACTGACGATTGTAAAATCGGCCCTTATGCGTTTATTATTTACTTACGATATAAAATTAGGACAACCGTTCTTGATTTTAATACGCTATATTTGGACAAATCTATGTCCAACATTGGAGGCCAACTGACAATTACTAATATGATTATATTGTTTTTATATAATCTGCTATAAGCCTATTTCTAATTGAACCTGAGATATATGAGCGACACAGCCTGTGTTTACTGTGCCATATAAAATTGAATAATATATGAAAAAAATATTAAAATAATAAATCCATTTCTATTACATGAAAAATGGAGTACCACTTCTTAACAGCTTTATATTATTTTGAAGAAAAACAATATATTTCATTAAAAATCTTAATATATAACTAATTCGCCTAGATTTTATTGTACCTATACTAAGACAAAAACCACACACTTGCCTTAAAAGCGATTAAAACATGGATGGCCTTAAATAACGACTTTGCATAATAATAAATGCGTTAAATGTTTTTAACCACTGTTGCTAATAAAGACAAGGATACACTTAGGCGTAAATGTTCCGGGACATGTTGCCAGTGGCAACATGCTATGTTCCTCACGACACGCGACGCGACATTCACAAATGCATGCATCTTACTCAGAATCAATGAAAACTGTCCACGAAGGGGCAATGTTACGTCACTCACTGCCCCACCTTTCGTCATTTGGAGATTCTATGCATTCATCGAATGACGCGTCGTTGACAGTAGGCCTAAGTGGCACGATATTGCGTCGTATAGATATCGAAATCATTCTACTTCTCATGTATATCACGTATGTGTGTCATGAAACATTTTCCTTCTAGTGTATTCCTGACTTTAGCATGATCTGCAGTTCTACCCAAGTTGTCTATCTATAACTGTTAATGTTAGAGAAAAGAAACCGATGTGGACATTGATCAACATTGATAAACAAACGAATAAAAAGCCCATATGTTAGTTTTGTTTCTTTTATAATATTAACAATTTACAGATAGTTGATTTGGGTAAGACTTCTGTTAAAGTATTTTGTGACTAACTTTTTCTTTTGTGTACAGATACAGACAACTGCGGGGCGATACTTCAAAGTCAGGGACGCAGACTACGTCATCCTCTACTCGGACACATTCCACATCTCGCGATGATATGCAGATGCACTCTGTTAAGAAGTAAATAAGATTCAAAGTTCTATGAGTTATTTAAAAGTTGAGAGGGCGTGTGAAACAGAAACGCTGTTGTCATAATATAAAGACGCAATTGCACTAGAGAATTCAGTATCTTATTAAGTACGGGCTTCCTATTTTCGAAGCCCTCTCATGGCCATTTTCACCAATCTCCCCTAAACTGTCACTTAGCTGAAAATTACTTAACATGGGGTAGCACTTACATTAACCATTTACTGGTAGGTATATTAATTAAATGTTAACTACTTATTTAAGCTTAAAGGATGTTTCGATTGGTGGAAACTGGCATTAGACGTCTATACGTATACCTACACTTTATAAAAAATAACAAAACAAACATGGGACCAAATGATAAATATTGTCGACCAAAACATAATATATACAACGTTTTCGAAATTAGTTAAAAATATTAATTGCGTCTTTATTGTTCATGGCGGCAGTATGCACAATGCACATATAATAGTGACAAGAAATTTTAAATGTATTCATTGTACGTACATTTTTAAAACTGTCCACTAGGCTTCTGATGTTGCAATTTTTGTCATTATGTGAGTACATAGCTTATAAAGTACAGTTAATTGTTAGGTTAAACGAGGGGTAATCAAACCTATAGTAATATTCAGGTTAACTAATAAATCTGATCGTTTACCCTCACAACCTGTATAATGCTTGGCTCTCTGTTTCACGGACGCCTAAAGATCGATGTTAGAACAATGAGTGTAATCTTGTCTATTCAATATTTTTCTTAGAGTTGCTACTGTAACGCAAGAGTTAAGAAAAATTAACAAAATATGCCTAAAACTTGCCTTGACATAAAATTATATTGTTGTTTTTGCGTACAATTATAATATACAGTATCTACATTCAATTAAACTATGCCAAAAAAAAGTAATTTTTATTAAAAAAAAAAGCGATAATATTCGGCAAAACAAACTGAACGTTTTGTTACAAACTCAAACTCAAAGTCTTTATTTTAAATATTTTTAGAAGTAAATTATTTTTATCATGAAAATTTTGTGTAAAAAAGCTTTATTGATATTGCTAAATTAAAATGTTTATCATTGTATAGTTGAATGTTCAAATGTTATACTGCTACAATATTTAATTGGTGTATTAATGTCGACTGCACGGTTGGCGCAGTGGGTGTGTGACCGACGCTGTTATATGTATAGCGGGTTCGATTCCCACACCGACCTGAAAGTGGTAAAATAATCATTATAAGCCCGAAGTCAGGAAGCTCGGCGGTGTTTAATCACCTTGTATCGGAAAGCACGTAAAGCCGTTTGTCCTGCGCCTGATCTCTCGCCGGTCTTGTCAGTCTGCCGTCCCATCGGATTCAAAGAGTGAGGGACAAAGAGAGTGCACCTGTGCTTGCACTATAATGTCTCCTGCGCAGTGTCGTTATGGAGATTTATTATTAAGTATATATATAATGTCAGGCACATTTTTACTGCATGTGGTTTTTACACCTTGATGTATCTTAATGAAGAGCATGAAAAAAACTTATATGATAGCATTTATTAGTTATTAATTGCGTAATAGTAATGCCATAATTGTTATTATTATCGTTAGTGGAATAAATTTAATATAAGTTTATGAAAATTATTTATACTGTGGTCATTGCAGACTCCCACCTTTTAAAACTATCACTTAATTAGAAATCCAAGTATTTTTTTGTGAGATAAGCCGGTAAACGAACAGACGGATCACCTAATGGTAAGCAATCAGCTTCGCCCATGGACACCCGGAACACCAGAGGCGTTACAATTTCGTTACCGGCCTTTTAGGGATTGTTGGGGATTCAGGGATTGAAGACATTGGGGAAGGGGGAAGAGTGATTAATTGGGCCTCCGGCTTCAAGTTTGAGACCATGGTATCACTCCGATCGAGCTGGCCCACGTGTGCCGAAGCGTGATTCTCCCACACTTATAATACTGTATACTGACAACATTTACTTATTTTTCTGCAGTGGGTATGTTGCAACACGGTACCACGGTACGGTAACCACGTACCATCAGGTGGGCCGTGTGCTTTTTTTGCCACCGTCGTGGTATGAAAAAAGAAAAAAAGTGCGGCGACATTTTATATATTTTCTACTTAGACCTTTTTTGCGCCTGTTTCATCACCTTCATATAAGGACCTTATAAACATAGGTGACAGATAGTTTATACTTTCGTTCTTAATTCGAATTCTTTATCTTATACATAAGTACCTACATAGCATCTATCCAGGTGTTATGAAACAGGTCTTTAGCATGATCAGTTTAAAAGCAGCTATAGTGTCTTAAATATTTTCGTTATTATTCGATATCTTGTTTTCGGAAACATTTAAAATGAATCACTTCATAAATAGACTTACAATAAGAAAAATACAAAATGTATTGACATTATAAACTTTTTTCTTTATTTTGTAATACCTATTACTCCAGTCACGGAGGTTTATTATCTTTAAACATTTTCATTTTAAAAAGTGGGACGTATGTTTTGTTGAAATAAAAATAACTACCCGGTAAGTTATGTATTTGATCTCAAAAATATGGCTGCTAAGCTGCTGAATAAAGAAAGTACGCAGTAAAAAGACTTATGA